TAAAGCTACCTGAAAGGAAATCACAGCAATAAAGAGCCAGAATCTCATCAGTGACAGAAAACACGTAAAGGGACAATGACAACTCCCACTTGGTAGGTTCAGGATGGCTCTTCCATTCTTCCCTCTCCATGCAAAATTTCCTCTTTTTTCAACAGGCAGGTGTTGTAGACCAGCAGGTCACCCAGCAAGGTGGTGGGACCTGCATCCAGTGAAATATAAGACCTATCTAGACAAACACCATCTGACATGACTGGGAAGAGTGTGTCCTTCCAGTTGGACTGGGTAAACTTCCTAAGGTTCCTTCAAAACAATGTGTAGGTGAGAAATATGCACATATATAGAATCACAAACTACTTCAGGTCCGGCAGATCGCTGTAGATTTATACTGAAGTGCATCTAAATATCCACCATCATTCATTGTCCCTGAAAGAAAATGCCTACTAAAGTTTAGGTGCCACAGTTAAAGAATTTTAAATTTTTACCTCCTTAGTACCTAATAATATTTCATATGCCACACATTTATATTATCAACCCTATTATTCGTAAATATCATATTTCTATTTGTTTTTAAAAACATATAGAAAAATATTATTATCCTAACAATATCACACCCTGACTCTGAAATGGTGATTAAAAAGATAAAAGCCATAAAGCTACCAACAGAGCACTTGGAACTAGCTCATTAAAAGCTTTAAGATGGATAAAAGAATAGATAAAATAATTTCTCCTACTTTCAATAGTATGAGAAAAAACAAGTACTTAGCCTGTTGCACATTACTGGTTTTCGAATCAGAATGTGGAACCTCCATAGTTATACAAAGGGCACAGTATGAGGCAGTGCTGTTAGCTCACATGCAAAGACCTGCTGTTCAATAGCCATCTGATCATTAGTAAGCTATGTCCTTTCTGGCAGATCTGGAAAGCTAAAATAGCTAGTTAAATCTTTGATGGCATCATTAGATTTTTTTCCAGAAATAATTTTTCAGTCTTTTTCCATCGACAATGCAAAAGACAAGAAGAACAACACAGAGGCTCTTAACAATTCATTTATAGCTGTATCTTATCTTTGCAGTGGCCAACAGAGGGTGCCTGTGAAAAACTATCAATACACATCATGCAAAGTCCTACTGCCCTTGTGCACACATCCTGATCTGTGATTTGGGATTGATTTGGGATTCAGAAGCTTCCAGAGCAAAAGGTGTTGGTTTTGTAAAGAGAAGGACATCCCCCCAAAAAATGTTAAAGACTTCTGCATGGAATATATTACAAAGAAGTCAGTAAGAAACAGAAACTTTATTATTCCTGAAATAAATCCAACATGTTAAATTAGGAAACTTACACAACTAATTATATCCTACCAGTATAAACACTATCAAAGAGCAGTATTTTTTTTGCTGAACATCTCATGCCATCTCATTTTCAGAATGTCAATTAAGAACAAAAATAATACAAAATCCGTATGACAGCTGAAGATGAAATCCAGAGTTAAATTTGCAACCAATCTGGAATTCCCCTTTGATCATTCTATGGCAATAGCTATACATTTTTATCACACCAAACAACCCAAAATAATCTAAACAAACTGCAACAGCAGTAACAGAAAGAAATCCTACGACATCCCAAGAGAATGCTTTTGAAAAGCTACATTATTTCAGCATTTTAACATAAGCACATGTGTTAAATATGCACATGCTTCATGTGTAGGTGATGTAGTGTGGCATAAATATTTTACTAGCAAGAGTTTAAGTTACTGACTCATTATGCACAAATGGTAGAATGTTCTTTTCTGATTTTATAAGTGTTCATATTTTGGGGCTCCTGAATGATTAAGAATAGAAAACTATGGTATCAGAAAAGCAGATTTTCAAAAACTTGCAGGAAAAATATTACATTTTAATGGAGCTTCCATGTAAAGAGGTGCACAAAAAGGAGTCAAGAAACATGTAATTTATGTCTATGCTCCCCAGTACAACTTCATTGAAGTTAAAGGCCTTTGCTCAAGAGTAAATCCTCCCTCTAGTAGCAGAAGTTTGCAGAAGAGCTGTCTCTTCTAGCACTTGGCAAGTCTGTATTTACAAATAAACCAACCAATTGACTTCTGAATGTAGGTCACAACACTCATTCCTTACGTAGCTGGCCTATTTTTCTCTTAGTTGAAAGGGCAAAAAATAAAAAGAGCAAACTCAGCTCCAAAGTGTTTTTCCCTATAGAAATGATAAATGACAATATCACTGCGGAAATGGTTTCTATTTGTAACTAATGCCAAATCCCTATTTCTTATTTAAAAACATGCAAACCTAAACAAACTTCTAGATCAAAGACTTCAAACTGCAACTCTGTAGCCACCCTTGCATTACTTCAACCTGCATATCAGAGTGAGGTTTCAGAAGACCAATGATCTGCTCAAAAGGTCTCACCCCAGATAGCCCATTCCTGTAACAGAAATAGTACAGAGCTATAACAGGCTCCACTGCAGTCAAGAATAGCTTAGCAGTGGTAGAAGCAGATATCTCACGTACTTAGTAATGTCTTTGCAACTCTAAGCTACTTGTCTCAAGACTTCTTTTTGCAAAACGTTGTAGTTATTTTGTTTTGTTTGAGTTTTTAATTCCGTGAGAAAGTCTGTTTTCCAAGGTGTAATTGTATTTCATCAGGTGGATAGAAAAAAAAAAGAGCCTGAAACACCAAAAATACTACCTGACTATCTGACTGTGATTAAATCAGAATTATACAAATATGTTAAAATAATTTATAGACAGACAATAAGGATGGCTGTCAAACTGAAATGCAATGGAACTTCAAATGCACCTTAAACAATGTAGCAGTGACAGATCCTTAAAGGTAATACTATTACTAGGTGCCTTTTTATTACAGTAATGTTTCAGGCTCTTTCACGTAGTTCTGCTCAGATAAAAGATGTAATGTTGGCATTTACAGCTGCCAAAATTGCCATTTGCAATTAAAAATTAAAACTGGCACTCTTTCTATGTAGGCAATTATCTAAACGCAGCTGGCAATCTTCCTTGTTTACAGTGCTGCTGTGTCATGACTCCACTCTGTTTGGAAATTTACTACCTTTTTTTTTTTTTTTTAGGTTTAAACTTGTCAATGGTATTTCCAACTCAAACTTTTCTGGTTTTAAAGATTTTCATCATGGTCTCGAAGAGAAAGGTCCAAAAATACAATTTACAGATTTTGTATGGCAACTTCAGGCACTGCAGTGAGCTGATTCCTAGTACATATTTTGGTGATTCTCGCAACATTAATTTACATCCATCTAGTCAACCTGTAAGAACCCAGACAGCCAAAGGTACCAAATAAATGCCCTCCAAGAAGAAAGTTTAGGGTGTAAGAGCTGATTTTCAGAGTAAAACAGAGAGAATGGGCAGATCCTCTAAGTGGACAAAAATTCTTTTACTGAATAATATATAACATTAAGTATATTTCTACTCCTTGTTATCTATAGTAATTGTGATCTACTAAATAAGTCTATCCACAAAGTATTTTATTAATCAGATTGCCATGTTTTTGGCAAAATATTTTTTCACTTATAAAAACTTGCATTAAAGTAGGATTTGGGAGTTCCCCTGCTGATGGGAGGGGAGCACTCTTTATGCTATCAAACAGCTTTTAGGGAACAGTTGCTTTTTAAGCAAAGCTGCTGCAACCGCTGATTTCTGTAACTATCATGGAACAAATACAGTTACCTACAGCATATCAATTAAATCTTCTGATTCATTTATGATATATTTTCTGTAGTCAGACACAGCAATACTTTGTATTATATTCCCAGTACAGCAACGCCTAATTTCCTTCCTCTATAGTTGATCGCGACGTTTTCACCTAGCAGTATGATCCACTGCCATGACTCCTTGCCACACTACTGCACATTTTGCTCAGCCATCAAAAAAGATTTTAAGTCGAGCCTTTCCCCCGAATATTGTCAAAATCCATAGAAACAGGGGATTGCTAATGAACTGAGGAACACTGCTGACCCTAGAGATACTGCAAGCAGTGACAGCCACAGGTCCTCCCGCACAGCCCTCACAGGCAAGCTTGAAGTTAAAGCAGCCCAAGTTTCACACCGCGGTGACAGTACCGCTCTCCACTGAGCGATGTGTAGGAACATGTATTTCCGTCACGGGCTCTTTCAGAGTGAGGAAGACAAGAGTCGCCACTTGCTAAAACCAAAAGCGCAGCAGTGGCGGGCAGAGGGGGGAGGCCGCCAGCGCGGACCGGGTGGCCCCCGGCGCTGCCAGCGGCAGCAGTGGCGCACCTGGGGCGCGGCACCCCCGCGGCGCCGCGCACCCAAGGCGGGCACACGCGTGGGAAGGCGCCGTCACCCGCACTCCCTGAGAGGCGCTCCGGGAAAACACGCTGGAGGCAGAACCGAGCTGTGCGGCTCCGCGGCGGTAACTTTTCAAACCGCGCAGCTCTTGGCGTCCGTGAGGCAGAACGCACGCCGCGGGTACCGTCGGCGTACCCACTGGGCCCCGCCGTCGCGGGAACGACTCCGGCAGCTGCCGGCACGCCTCACCCCGTCTAACCTCGAGGCCGGCGTGTGGCATCAGTGGGAGCGCCGCGCAGCCCCCTCGTACAAGCCGGCGGCCTCGGGCGCCCAGGAGACCAGCGAACATGTGCTCCCCGCCGTGCTCCCCTCCGGCTCTCTTTGCCGGCTGAACCGAGCCCCCCCATCACCTCCCACCTCGGGCTACGCGGATTTTCCCGCCGCCCGCGGAGCGCCGCGCCGCAGGTGGCAGAGGCTCCTCCGCCTCCGTTGACGCCTCCCGGTCACTTTCGGCACGACTCGCGGGGGACTTGCCCTCCCCGTGGACCGTCGCTGAGAGATGCCCGGGGAGCATAGGGACAGGAGGGGAGGTGTGCGCCTGTCGGTGCGGCGCGGCTCTGCTCGGGGCAGGTGCGGACGGCGGCCCGGGGGACAGACGAGAAGGGTCGGGACGGGACGGGACGGGAGGAGAAGCAAGCGTATCGGTACTCACACGAAGGCGTGATAGACGAAGGCCCATCCTCGGGGCCGCTCCAGCACGTTGTACAGGTAGTTCTGCAGCCGGCGGTACTTGGCGTTCCTGCGGCAGCTCGGCCCGCTGCTGTACGACAGCGGCTTCCCCAGAAGGCTCATGCGGGCACCGTGCTTCCCGCGGCGGCCCTCCCGCAGCCCGGCGGGGGCGGCCGTGCCGCCGGTGCCCAGGAGCAGCAGGCCGTCGCCGCGGGCCGCCGAGCTCGTCAGCGCCCTGCCCCGGCCCGACTCCACATCCTTCATACCCGCCGCCGCGCCGCTCTTCACCCAGAGCCCCGCGGAGCTGCCCTCCTCCCCGCCGCCGTGGTTGCGGGGCATAGCATCACCCCGGGCGCCGGGGCGGGCGCCGGGGCCGCGGCGGAGCAGGGCGCGGGCGGCGGTGGCCAAGCACCCTGCGGCGGCAGCCCGCAAGAGGCAGCGGGGGCCGAGGGTCTCCGGGCGGCGCCCGCGGGGCGCGGGGGCGCGGGCCACTTTGGGCGTCCGGCGCGGCGGGCCGGCCTGCGGCAGCTTCGCGGGGGCCCCGACGAGGGAGCGGGCGCCCCCACGGGCGCGCTCTCCTCCCGGGCGGCGGCGCCCCGCCGCCGGCCCCCGCAGCGCCGCCCGGCGTGGTTCTGCGGCCCGGGACGGGGCGGAGGGAGGGAGGGCAGCTCCGCGCGGCTCCGGCGGAGAGGCCGCGGCTCGGTGGTGCCTCTCGCCGCCCGCTCCTTCGCTGCCTCCTGCGTCGTTTGGCTCGGCTGGGCCGGACAAGCTGTTGCTCTCGCTCCGAGCGACGGAGAAAGTAGGCGAGGAAGGCGGGCTGGTGGGGGCAGACAGGGGCCGCGCCGCCGGGCGCCTCCGGGTCCTGGGGTTCAAGCGGCAGAGGCAGCGGCGGTGCCCGCGGCGGGGCGGGCGGCAGGCGGCTGGCGGGACGCGGCACCCGCGGACTACGCGCGCTCCCGGGAAATGTCCATGTAAGTCCGAGAAAGTAACAAAACTGCCGTAAGTCCCGGCGGAGGCGCGGGGGAGGATCGGCCGGCAGCGGGACCCCACTGCGGACGGGGAGCGCGGCCAGCCCGGGCGGGGCAGCGCAGACGAGCCGCCGGGTGTCCCCCCGAGGGGGCGGCGCGGCCCGGCACTTCGCTCCGGCGCTTCCGCCGTGTCCCTGCCTCGTGCCGCGGCGAGACAGCAAATCCCAGCGGCAGCGGCGCGGGCTGTCTTCCCTGCGGTCTTCCCCCCCGGCCCCCGTCAGCTCCGGCCCCGGCACGGTGCGGCCGGAGCGCGGCGGTGCTGCCGCTCCGTGCCCGCGCTGCGCCGAGACAGCGATGCTCCCCCTGCCGAGCGCGGCCCTTTTACGCCCCGCCGCATCAAGGTGAGCTTGCGGAAAAAACACCACCCACCCTGGCACCCGCAGGCGCGGCCGCCGCACCGCGCCTGCTTTGGCCCCAGTTATCGCCCAGGCTCGGGGGGCGACCCCCTGGACACCGCACTAGCGCTCCCCCCGCACCCCGCGGCCGCCTGCTGCGCGGCAGCCATCGCCTGTACCGCTCCTGGGGCCAGCGCTCTGCAGCGCCCGCCGTCCCCCGGGGACGCCTGGGAGCCCCGCCCGGCACTTCAGTACCAACTTCATGAAAAATAGCTGCGTGCCACTGGTTTTGCAGCCTGAGCACCGCGATGTGAAAATGTGACGCTAATTCTTGAAGGGTTCATGAAAAGTAGTAATTGTAGATGCTAATGTTGAGCGAAATTCAATAGAAGCATTCAGAAATTGAGTTAAATTTCGTGGGGGTTTTTCGTGCTGACCACTTAGAGGCCAGGCTCTCAAGCTTTGATTAACAGGCCATCTTCAACTCCCAGAAAAGAAGCTACAAAGCATGTTCTGGCTGTGAACATTAACTTGTGCCCCTACTAATGCAACATGGACACACCAACAGTACTAATTTACTGCTACGTGTCCAAAGCCATTCAATCAGATGTCTTTAAATGAAGAGCTTAAACTTCTTCCTTCCTCCACCACACTTTCTCCTCCACTGCAGGCAACTTCAAACAGGAACCTTCTAACATGTGAACCACAGCAGCCACTCAAATTCATGATAAGGGATGGCAGAAACAGCACACATGTCAAAACAGATGTTAAGTAGTTGATACAACTATCCACAGAAACTCCATTAATATTTAAGCTTTCCAGTGGCACATATCTACTCTTCTTTCTTTGAATTGTAAATTGAGTTAGTTAATCCTTCATTCAGTACTTGTTTGCATTTCTGTGGTTTGATATATTCAGGTGTTTATACTCTTCATTTTTCTCATCCCTATGTATCCATGTACAGCTGAAGATGTACAGCAGCCTTTACCATCAGCCGCTCCTCCATGCTTAGATTTAAACTGGCCTTAGTCACTCCAAATATTTGAGGGTTGGTACTCAAGTTCTGGAAAGCCAAACTGTGAGATTCAACTGAGAGCACATGGTCCAACCTGCTCAGCCAGGCCTCTGTCCCGCAAGCGCTCACCCTTGAGCTTTGTTTAATTGCTGTGGGTGTGCAGTGGTGCAGCTCACAGCAGCACTATTGATAGGATCGAGGCTTTAAACTGTGGACTGGGACAATAAATTGTGAAAATTACTGAGCTCCTGATGTTCCTTTTGTGATCCACTAAGAAATATTGTTATAATTCTGTGCCCTCTAGTGGTACTTAAAATCATCAATTAATTTAAATAATTGTAAGGAAAACAGTCTGTGAGTACAACTATGTGAGCACAAATATGACAAATATTGAAATATAGCCATAGATGCTGGGACAGCTAGAAGCAAACAAAAGTAATACACTTAGTGATGAATTATTTTATTTTTTACAGTGTGTGAACAAGTGTATTTTCCCATCTGTTATCTGTTATTAAATAAATCCTTTTAAAAGTAAGTATTATGAGAAGAGATTGATGGTAATTATTCTAATCCCTACTTGTTCATATGTCAGATAACCAGGGCATGATACACTGGTTGAATGTGGAGTAGAACATTAGCACGCAGGCAGCTGCCTGCCCTGTAGCCGGCAGAGGAGCTGTACTGTGTAACAAAGCTCGTCCTCATCTAAGTATTTATTGCAAAATATGGGTCTACATTTATAGGACAACAAATTCCCCTGATATTTTGGCTTCAGACTATATAATACCTACAGAGATGAGTCGTGTGAAATTCTAGCATGCCAGTATGGTCCAAGGTCACCCTGGGTTCAGGTGTCAGTAAGAGGATCTACTTGACGAAATCTCCAAGGCAAGAACCTCCCAAGGAATCTTGACTTCTCGAGGCTACAGGTACAGTATATAACACTTGCAAAGGGGCAAGTAACATGGCATGCTAAAGTGCAGCTTGGGAGTAGCTATTACTGTGCTTTAAGGCAACTGTCAACAGCATATTCCAAAATTTTAAGTAACTAGTTTTAAGATTCCATTGCATTTTCCAAATGTATACATCAAATGTTATATATCCTGACTTATGGAAGGATCAGCTGACACATACGGTCTTTGCTGATCAGGAACCAAATGTTACATATGTTTCGTATTTTCAAGGTTTTCTTTCCAATGAGTTACTTGGGATATATTGCCTTAAATTAGAATTTCTGGGTTTATTTTAATGAAAGAAAGGAAGTAATTTAAACAACAGTGATAGTCTCTTATTCCCTTATTTATAATAAAATTTTTTTTTTGTTAAAGCATGTAAATTTCTAAGCCATCTACTACTGCAATTTTGGGGTTAGCCACACTAGAATTTAAAGCAGGCATTCACAAGGACTAAATTTGCAAATGAATAACAAGAAAAATGTAATGCAATGGTGTAGTTGTGACACAGGGTAGATACTAATAGAAGAAGAACCTTGTTACAGGGAAAAAAAAAAAAAAGAGGGGAAAAAAAGAAGTCCAGGTGGGTTGGAGGGCACTGGTCAGAGTTCACCATGTCCAGTTCACTGCTTTGCTCTGTGCTGCCAGGCCAGATAGAATCTGGAGCCTATCCACATCAAGTCCAAAGTACCTGAGTGTGTAGTTGCCTCAAGTCACTGACAGATGCTTACTGAGCTGCTGAAAACTAGTTGTGTACCTATTTTAGTATTTACATGGATACGAAGAATCTCTCTTCAATTGTGTTCTACCGATATGTCCAATTTTACGTATCTGTCATGGGGTGGTAGCAATGTGTGCATAGAGAGAGGGATTGTTAGCACAAATTCATAGAATAGTGTAAGATTCTCAAATGCAGCAAAAGAGAGAGCAGCAGAAATCACAGACATACAGTGGCTGTTATAAGCAGGAAAGCAGCCAGAGTGCAAGTTGGAGGGCCTTCGTAGCAACATTTTGCAAAGGTCAGTTTACTGTGGTATCATGTTTTGAGTTCACTTGTGTTCCTTGTTAATAACCTTTCTCGTATTATATAATATTGTGAGGTATCATGTATGCTCTAGTTTTGCATCTCTTTGTAAGATTTTTAGCTTTCTGCCTAATTATATGGAGAGGGGATGCTCATAGCTATTCTTGGTGTCAAGCATACAAGAGCCAGGAATAAGTTTTCAAATCACTCAGGTGTTAGGAACAATTCATTTGCTATGTTGACCTGCTGTATAGCCTGGAATACCTGGTATGCACCTCCAGGAAACCCCAAACCAAGCATCTCTATTGTGTAATAAATCAGGAGCAAAATGTCAGATGAGGTGAGCAGCTTATTAGGATGCATATTACAAGCTGTCCAGTCAGCACATGTAATGTGCTAGCAGCTGTATCAAGGCTTTGATATTAATATTCAAAAGTGTTGGAATACATTACATTAATATTCCAAGATGTTGGAATATTTTCCTGCAAGCTTTTTTTCATATAAATGAAAAAAGCATGACTGTCAATAGTATGAGGCATTCAAACAGTGAACACAGCAGAAAGGATGGCCCAGCCTTCCTGTGCATTCTTCATGAAGTCCCTTAACCCTGAACTCAAGGGAGTACCTTCAAAAGTAATTTAGTTTTGATGTCCCTTTTATTTGTTAATCTTGATTTTAAACTGCTATGAGATTACTAACTGTGAGGAAGACCTGTCTCCACAAAGAGCTGTCCTGACACCAGACTTTCATTCCAAGCAGCCCCTCTCTCTGTGTTACTACCAGCACAGCATAAATTTTAATCCGAAGACAAGACAAAAATAGCTCACTCGCAGTACTTGTGCCTCCTTGGCCACAGGTATGCTAAAAACACTTCTACCTGGTTATTACACCTATAAAAACCAAGACCGGTTCACAAACTGTTAGTTGGATCCTTTCATCTGCCGGGAGCTGTTTGCTCCTTTCCAGCTAGAGGAACAGTTTGGCCTTCTCTCCTTGCCTGGTCAAGATCAACGGCAGAAATTCCTGTCCTTACTTCTGTGCTGTCTGGCTGCCCTGGCAAATGTTTATTTTGCTCCCTGACATCTAGTATTTCCTCTCGCTCATCAGATATTAATCCCTGATAAGAGAATTAATTTATTCCATTGATTCCTACTTAACTAAATACCTAAACATCCCTCTCCATTAATAAGGCATGCCTGTCTGTAAAGTCATTACCAGACCTCAAGACATGCTCTCCTAAATGGCTCTTCTGTTCATGTCCTTTACTTTCTCTTTAATTTTTGGTTGTTTTGTTTTTTTGTTTTGTTTTGTTTTGTTTATTTGTTTGTTTGTTTACTATTTTGTGGTGCTTCTCTTCCTTCCCTCCTTCCTCCCTAAGCCTCCTCCCTCTGTGATTCAACTACCTGGACTCCCAAACAAGCAATCTGGTGACAAAACAAGACTGTATATCTTGAATGGTGCAAAACCTGCTGCAGGTGCAGGGCCTGCTCCATAGACCATTCTCACTCTCTAATCTAGCAAAGCAAGTAATTGGATCATTAAAAAACCCTAAAAAAGACAAAGCCAAAGACATGAATCTATACTGAGAACTGCCAAACAGTTTACCGTCCTGAGCTGGGAATATAATAGAAATAGAATAGGATATGAAATGGTTTTTTCCAGATAGAAAGGTTTGTTTTCTTAGAATATATGGATTTTCAAAATCATACTCCCCAAAATACCCAGAAGTTCTGAAGAAAACATGCCAATCAAAAATGTAAATGTTTATTGCAGTCTTTTGTAACTGAACACAGTTTCTAAATATAAAAAGAGAATCTTGGAATCCTTGGGATATTGTCTTCCAAATTGTTTGTTTTCAAGGAGAAGAGTATAATTTGGCTAGCTTGCATCCCAGCAGTTCCTTCCAGCAGGCATGATAACAACCCACGGCAGACTTGAAGAAGTCTGTCAAGGTCAGAATACAGCTACTTTAGAATTCAGCAAGAGGACATTCTTTTTTCAGGTTTCCAGTGTAGGAAACAAGTGAAGATTTTTTTTTGGTTTGGACTTATTTCTGATTTCTTTGGGTATGGAGGAAATATTTTGTGAAAGCTCAGCTTGATCCCTAGAGTTAGCAAAACTCCTTTAAGACACAGTGATATCTAGTCTTAGTGATGCATTAGATTGTCTAGAGATGTACCTGAATAAAGCTGGTGACTGAGAAAATGTCAAAATACATGAGATGTATCTCATTATTAGCTTTTTCTTTAAACTACAGTGACCTTTATTATTTACCAGACATGAACTTCTGGTCATCTCATCTTTCCCCATCTCTGCACATCTCTTCCACTTGTATTATCGCAGCTCTGATTTAAAAAATTCCTGTTCAACTATGGTCTAATCTTTGAAGTATTGCAATTTTTTTGACATTAATATTTTAGAATCATCTAATTTTTTCTTTTCTGAAAATACTTAGAAGCATGTCAGTCTTCACTTTATTCAACTGGAACATAATTTGCATTTATCTCTCTGTCCCAAACAAATTTAAGACAAATCTGTGCAAAGTAGCATGGAGAGAGCCAACCACTTCAGGTGCTCTTGCCTGGGAGTGCTTGTACTGCGGAGTCTGGAGAGTTGTTCCCGGGCAGCAGAGCCATGCTGAGGCTTGAGGGAGTACTCTGGCCACTGACTACTGGGACAGGTAGGCAGCATCACTAATCTCACATATGGGATGTGTCTGCATGCTTCTGGCAAGTTTAAAAGGTTCCTTGTTTTGTGCCCTGGCTTCTGTGACCCTCATGTGAAGGTGCCCATACACTTCATGCATTATTGAGATGGCCTAGTCCTATTATAGGAGTCTGGTTTCTGCTCTTGGAATAGGACTTCAAATTTTAGGGGTAACACAAAGTGTTTCCTGTCATCTAAACTTTCTCTTAAGATCTAGGAGTGATTTAATATTCTCTAAAGATCATTAGCTGTTCATCTCGCATACAAATGTTCTTGCATCTTAAGTTTTATTTATAGCATAAATGTAGGACTTGAAACTAAATTATTGTAATTCTTTGTAACTGGAGTAACATTTTTTTCTAAATTAGATGGTTAATTACCACCCTAATATATTCTGAAGATATATTTTAAAATAAAAAAAAATTTACTGCCCTTTTTCATAAAAAATAAAAAGATATTTGGCCTTGTTGATGTACCTGTGCAAATAATTGGACAGCATTTATGATACTCAAAGAATTTTAATAAAATGTGCCCTCTGAGTTACTCAAGTGACATAACAAGAACTTACTCATAAGATAGAGGCACCACAGAAAGTTGGAATAAATAAGAACTCTTACAGCTATCCTTCCATTAGTGTATCAGAGGACAACTACTCATTGGAAACCTTTGGTTTGTATGCTTGGGACTCCTCCTTTCTGTTACTCTGTTCCTATTGAATTCAGTGAGATTTATTCCTGTCAATAGATGAACTGTAAAGGTGGAGGTGAGAGTGTCTAAGGTCAGTAGGGCCCCTCAAGAGCTCCTGTTGGATGAGTAAAGGCATTCAGTTGGAACTGTTGGAACCACAGCACACCAGAAAGGAATACTGTAGGCTTCTACAGGCATAGTTAGGCACTTGACTTGCTCATGTTCTTAAATCTTATCCTAAAGCATGCACTTCAAAAATCTCAATCAGGAGAAAGACGAAAAATAAGAAAGCAAGTGTTAAGAGGAATCTAGGTGATCTAGTGAGGCTGTGAGACAGGAACAATAATGAGACAGAATTTATAATGACAAGTAAGCAGGAATCATAAACATGGGGAATAAGATGATAGTTCAGAACAGGGCTTTTTCACATGCTGCTAAAGTGGTGGTCTAACAGCTGCATTCCTAGAGAAAGGCTGGAGGCAGATATTCTATTTCAAAAGAGGAATAAAATAGAAGCTGTGATATTTCTAAAGCTATCTTGTTTTGTGTCTCTGCATATATCATTGTCTGCAAGGAAACATATAACCAAAAGTGGGTTTTAATATCCTTGCAGGGCTGAGGAGAGGATGATTAAATACCATAGGCCAGATTTAGCGGGGAAGTATTTGCATGAGAAGCAAGATGTACAAATATAGATATAAGGCAAACCCCACGATCTTTTAACATGAGAGTGGTTGGACACTGGCACAGGTGCCCATATAGGATGTGAAATCTCTGTCCTTGGAGTTTTTCAAAGCTTAGCAGGCCTCAAGGAACCTGATGTAAATTTGATGAGAGCCATGTGTTGGGTAAGTTGGAGTAGATGACCTCTAGAAGTTCTTTCCAACCTAAAATATTCCATGCGTCTAGATGACCTTGAGCAATGAATACTTTATGACCTACCCTGTGAAATAAAAACCCATTGATAAGTTTGACCTGGTCAATACTCTAAGACATATAAGCATCTGTCACTGCTGATATCCTGCCCCTGCTACAAAATCACAAACCTTATGTGTAGGGGGCAGAGGGTTGAAAGGATAACAGTGGTTTCTGCCTTTGGTATAATAGCTCCTCCAATTGCTTCTCCAAAAACGAGAAGGACAGGAGAATGAGCAGAGAGAGGCATCATAGCACAGTGGCATGTGAGCATAACCCTGAAGAACAGCACAGGACCAGGTGCCTGCTGTGTCTCCACCATGGGTCCCAATGCTTTGCAGCCCATTGGCTTCCCATTCCTTTCTCCAGCTCTCTCTGCCATAGCAAACATCCTTCCTTTTCTCATCTCTTTCTTTTCCCGTGAGATGGTTTGAACTTGGTTGAATTTTTTGCAGGAATACTTTTCACTGTCAAGAGATTATGGGTGATGATTAGTTGCAAATGTTATTATCCCCAAATAAAAAGGCAGCATTTAATACTATTTTTTATAAGGGAATAGTTATTTTAATTGCCCTACATGCTAGATGATTTAAAGAAAGCATTGAGTTTTCCCAGTTTGAATATCATATTTTTGTTAAAGTTTCCCTGCTAGAGTGTTGAAATCTCTAGCCCTTTTTGAAAATCTTAATCAAACTTTGCCTCTAGTTAATCGGACATTCACATTAAACCCATTTAGGTTGTTTAATTTAAGCAGGGGTCAAATTCTGGCTCTATTTGGTTATTCTGCCTGAAGATTTTCATTCTGCGGGGAGGTTCATTGGTTCCAACTAATGAGAATAAAACAATCGACTCAAGTTGATGACACCATAAATGCTTGGAATGAAAATTAAACATTATTATTAGCAACTTTCAGCAGGGTTTAAAGTGTTGAAATTTAACCTTGCCATGTGGATCCCTATCACTTAACTTTAATGAGTAACCAGTAGCAGGAGAGTTTCCTATATCATGTGTGCAGTAGCTGCTGAAGAGAGATATGACATATTATCTAGACTGGTTTATAGAAGCAGCTATCATATCACTGCAATAAGGAGGGAAACTAGAAATTTAAGCCATTATCTTCTAAAAGGTGAACTATAAAACTGTGAGTTTAAAATTGTTTTTATAATGTAAAGATCAAGTACTGGAAGCAAAACTCTTACATATTTTAAAAAGAAGTGATGGCCTGGGTGATAAAGATGGGTGGTAAGTAAAAGCAACAAGCTGCCTTTATAACTCAGTTGGAAGTAGTTATCATAATTATTCTACCTTCTTTATGCCAGATCCTGATAGCAAACTTTTTTTCTTTTTTTCTTCCTCAAAATGTTTCTCTGGAGCAGAAGGGGGAAATAGTTGAAAGCTTAGAAATGAGTGTTTTGGAACATTTTGCAGAGCACACTGTCTGGGGCCATAAACACACGATTCAGTTGTAACCTAAAATATCGTATTGAAGTTGTTCTTTCCATTCACTGTCTCTTTCCATATTTAAATCCATACAGATAAGGATACGTCTCCGTTTCCAGAGCGAATCTGTACACTTGAGTAGCATAACAGTGGAGATAGTTTCCTGCCGAAACAAATGGGCCCTAGAAAGTAATAAACATTTTGTTGTTTATTTCTGCTCAACTGATGAGGAATTACTGACTTGATTTCCTAAAGAGGGGAGCATTTGCAATGCTGATGACAATTTTGGAAGACCAATATTGCTTTAGACCCCAAGTAGTAATGATTAGGATCTTATTCCCTCTTACAAAACAAACATGTTTTCTTTCTTTATTATGGTAAATGACAATTTCTTTCGTACAATGCTTTTGGTTGGGGAGCCTTATTAAAGGCATTTTGTGTTCGTGCACCAGATTAGTTAGGAGCAATAATTTCCATCATGTAACCTTACCTTCTCTTGCATAATTATTTGCTGCCCACTGAAACAGCACCTTCTCTTCCTAAAGCACATCTTTGAAATCAAACAATGTCCTTTCTAAAAAAAATTACAGCAAAACACACATTTTGGAGATGCTCCACAACCATGAAGACTCTAAACATCATTTCTTTTCACTTAAGACCTACTAACCGGCTGCTTTAGAAGGCTGGAACTGGTAAACTAAGTAGCTGTGGGGAGGGAATGGAAAGAAAACAGACGGCCCTAAATTTATCTTTATTTGACACCGTCTCTAGCGCTGTGATGCTGCTGGGTGAACACTCGCATCCAAGTGAAAGCATCCTCCGCATGCTCCGCAATTCCCGGCCCCGGCGGCGCCCCGGTCCCCCAGAGGCTGCACCGGGGACCACCTCTGGGGGACCGGGGGGCTGCCAGGGGCCGGGACCGTCAGTAGCTCGGTGCCCTCAGCAGGTGGCAGTGGCGTCCCGCGGCGGGAAGGGGTTCATGGAGCCCCCCCAGCCCCCGCCCGCGGGGAGCGGCTGTTGCGGAGTCTGGGGGAGCGGCACCGCAGGCAGATGGTAGGACATGTCCTTCTCCCCTACTCATCCCCACAGGGAGCGTGCATCTTATAATAAATATTAAGTAATTAATTCCTCGGAGGAATTTCAAAAAAACCCCAGATGCAATCAGAAAAAATAAGCAAGCACCCAAAAACCAAAGCAACGCCCCCCCAGAAAACAACTAATTCACAAAAAGCTCCACACCCCCGCCCACCCCACCAAATCAAAAGTATGGCATTAAGTCTCTTCACCATCACAGGTGTGACTGGATTTGTGTGTAAATGATAAAAAAAGTCATTGCAAAACCCACATCTTTTTGTTAAATTTGGTCAATGTGAATTTAATGCTGCTATAGTTAAATACTTCTGTGACTACTTACACAATGATTTATGAACATTGCTAGTCTTCAGCTATTCCCTGTAGGGAGTAGATACATAAAGTATCAGTGCAAAAGAATGTTGAAACAACTAAATTTCAGAAAGGGTGATCATTCTTTATTTGAATTTCCAAAATATTAATTATGTGAATATGTTGAGTTTATACAGACGTGGTGAACGGTGTCTGTGTTTGTTTTCTATTTCTTTTTTGGGTGTTTCATATGTTTCTGCAATATCATTGTGTATGATATCTCAAGTGTTTTAAAGTAGTCTCAAGTGACTACATATTAAAAGGATTAGGGTTTGCAGGAACAATTGCTTAACAGAGTTTGTTTAATTAGTAAATACAGGGAGTTGAGATGCTGATCCAGTGTCTTTTCCTCATTGTGTCTATGTTAACTTCAGTGGAATGAAATCAGTGATGAATACCACTCACTATTTTTGGTTATTTTAGGGTTTTGTGTAACACATACAATCCTCTAGTTAAGAGTAATGAAGTGTTGTACTTTTTAGGTTATAT